GCATTCTAGCAAAATAAATGATCTGTTCCCAGTGTAATGATACTTTTATTAGAAAACGTTTTTATTTGTAAGCAAAAAAATAGTTTTAAAATGGTATTATTAACCCGGTAAAATATATTATCGTATAGGTTAAAAAATTAATTACACCTGCGCAAAATTTAATGAAAAAAGAGTATGTTTAAAGAAACTGGACTCTTGGGGTAAAAATCAGAGGTATATATTTTCTTCGATTGAGATTTATTTTATTGGGTGTATAATGATTAAAAAAATGTAAGTATAATGATTTAAATTTTTAATAAATGTCATAAAATTTGGGGTACGACCATTAACAACACATTTTTATAATTTTATGTATTATCGTCAGATCTTATGGATTCAGACGTTTTGTGTGAATAGCCTCACAAAAATATTATTTCAGTGAAGTTTGTGGCCAAGCTGTTTGATGAAAAAAATATTTTGTGATATATTTCTTATATCGGTTTGGCCAGACCCTTTTGGTAGCACAATTTACAAAATCTTTAAAAAAAAGGTTAAGGAAATGCAGATCTGATGGATTTTGTCAGCATTAATTTAATTTAAAATTGAATTTTTCTTAGTTTTTCGAATAACAGAAGGGGTGCTCTGTTAGCGTTAATGTTTCTCAAGAGGCGGGTAAGTGAAAGGACTTTCGGACCAAATAGCTGATCTTTCGGATCTGATGGATTTTATCGTTACAATGTTATGGACGGTGTATTTTGAGTGTTTATTTTTACAAAAAACAACATATTCTTCTGAAAATGGGTTGATCCATAAGGTTTTACTCTAACAAGAGAATTAAAAAAAATCAATCAGATCTGAAGGAGAAGAAGTCGTGTGCAACATAATCAATCGGTTGAAATTTCCGGTAAAAAATATTTTCGTGTGGTTTGCGAGTTAAAGAGGCTTTGTAGATGAAGTTGTGTGGTGTTCGTGCATGTAAAGGATCGGGTTAGAGGTTTTGGTTCGGTGTGTTCGAGAAGGGGGAATGTTACCTGTGTCTGCGGCCATTGAATGAGCGAGATCCATCCCATTAGGTTGTTGCCGAGCAGCTTGGTTCATCTCTGAGGTGGCTTGGAGTTTGATTGTTGTGGCCGGAGGGTTACCAGTGCAGTCCAAAGGTGGTCTCTTATTTTTTGATCTATGTAGTTCGTAAGGGTTAGAGAGGGAGGGCTGGGGGAGGTCTAAGTGTCGACGAGAAAATAGGGATGTTTTGAGGGGTATGAGTATGTGGCAGAGAATATTTGTTTGGGTTGTTTGGGTCATGGGTTATTTGGACGCTGGGCCGGTCCATTTTAGACATTTTGGGTGTTGCCAGTCTTTTTCAATTGGGTTAAGGAGTGTTTGGGGTTGCTTAAAAAAGCGCTTTTCAGCTTTTGGCTTAAAAAAAGTTGAGAAGAGTGTTTTCAAATGACAGCTTCTGCTTAAATTAATCACTTAAAAGTTAAAAGCTGGAAGCATGTAGAAGGGTGCTTTAAACTGCTTCTCACTTTTTCTATTATACAAAAAGTACTTATTTTACCAAACACTACCAACTTTTACTTTTTCAGAATCACTTTTTTCTCAAACACTACCAACTTTACTATTAATCACTTTTCCCAAAATCACTTCAAAAAATCACTTTTTTAAAGTTGAAGTAATTGCAAACACTCTCTTAGTGGTTTTGGATATAGAGATTTCAGGTTGGTTGTGTGCGGATTTTCCAAAATCTAATTATTAAAATTAACTTTTAATATTTTGGGATATTTATTTATTTTGATAAACGCATATACATGACTCTCATCAATAGACTTTTTGGGTGTTATTAAATTTTCAAATAAAAACTTTTTTGAAGATGTATGTTTTATGTAGATAAAATATAATCGAATATAAAGTTCATTGACAGAAAATATAAAAAATTGAAACGGCTGAAGAAAAAATGTAATCAACAATATCGACGGATCTACCTGATCTGTAGCCTCACTATGGCGGGTGGTTTCACTACCATATAGTGGGGGGTTGTGACTTTACCGTTGTCATGTAAATCGATCTATACGGCATTAGTCGGCGACCTACTGCGGACCATCGATGTCTTCGTCGCTGGAGGTTCCGGGTTTTGGCAGACCATTGACGGACAATGATTAGAGAAATTTCGTTGCGCTACTTGCTTTAATCGGCTTTAAGTTAGGGAATTTTGATTTTCTTTGTAGTGGGATGGAGAGAATGTCTTAGTCAGCCACATGAATGAAGGGTTTGGTTCTCCTATGGAATGGACTAATGAGGAGCCGAGTGGTGAGGGATGCATTTTATTGGACCTCAGACTTTCTAACAACAATGGACTAATAATGAAAAGCCTGTTAAAATGCAAGGCCCCCGGAACTTGGTTAGGCCATGCCCATGCTCACAAGATGTCAAATATGGTTACTCATTTCCACATATTTGCACCCCTTGATTTGTCTGTTTACCCCGGCAATTCGTTAAAACAATGCAATTCGTATAACCCTATTACTTATTTGCTAAAATAGTTTACCTTCAATTAAATTACTTTTGAAAAGGGAAATTCTTTGACAAAATCATTTGTGTACCGTGCGGGTAAATTACTATTAGAAGAAAGAATTTTAAAAGAAGTTAGTGTGAGACGGAAACTGCCAATTCCCAAACATTCATTACCAATTTCAGATGTTAGCTTATCATTCCAATTTCAGAAGCAATAATACCTAAACATGACTATAAATAAAAAAAATCAAAGACAATCATTGCCGCGTCTTTTTTTGGTTGAGTGTTGATTCCTTGGTTGTCCTTGACTCCCTCTGATGCAAACTTGCCTTTCAAATTAAATTTCAGAGGCGACAGTACCCCATTATGATTTCATATGCTATGACTATTAATAAAAGTCAGCGCCAATCGTTGTCCCGTGTGAGTTTGTTGTTGAGGAAACCAGTGTTCACGCATGAACAACTCTATGTTGCGGGTTCAAGAGTGACCAACAGGCGTGGTTTGAGAATTCGTATATGTGATGACAGCGGCAAGACCGCGAATGCCACTCAAAATGTTGTTTATAAGGAAGTTTTCAATAACGTGTAACGCTGCACTCCATTCCGTTTTTAACAAATGCCTGTAGGTCATTGTAGAATTATTTTGGTGTGCTTTATTATTTTATTACTGTGGCTGATCGTGAATTGTGTACTCTGTAACTTATCACCAAAGTTTTTGTATTATTGTCAATAAATCTTATGTGGCGATTGTTTTGAAAACAATTTGAAAGGAGAAAAAATGGGATATAAATTCTCCGGCCGTGCATCGCACGGGTGATTTACTAGTTGTGTGTAGTGGTAGCTTAAAAGGGGTATTAAAAATGGGAAAGGGGATAGAGAAGGTTAAATATAGAGAGTTGATTGACAAGAGTGTGAAAAGGAAAAAGAAAGAAAAAAGAAGAGAAAGGACGGACACAATGTTTTTTGTGTGTGCAGATGATGTCATGCTGGTGTCATTCTGCATCATAATATCCCAAAAAATTTTAAACTTGTGTATAACTTTTTTATTTTTTATCCAAACATTTCAAAAAGTATATCAAAATTCACAAATTTTTATGATTTTTCATATGATACCAATATATAATACGGAGTATATAAAATGAAAAAATTGAAGTTTTAATTGTTGAAGTTTTCTTGAGCCCCAGAAAAACATGAAACACAAATTTTTAATTCATGAAGCCTTTAACAAATAATTGAATATTTCATAATCAAACTTTACTTGAACTAAATTCATATTTTGTTAACCAAAAAACATTAAAAAATTAATTAACTTTATTTATTTTACATCGAAATATGTACTCGCTCCGTATCGTAAAGATGTTCCTGGTTTGACTTACACACATATTAAGGAAATAAACTTACCAGAGGGTAAATTTTACTGTTTTAACACTGTTTCGACACTGTTTGACACTGTTTTACACTATTTGACACTGTTTCGATGTAGTATAACTTTCCATTTAGGGAAATGAGAACTTCTTTTTTAGACTACTAAAAAAGGAAAGCGAGAACATCTTTACGGGACGGAGGGAGTATTTTTTATTTCATAATTATTCAAAGGGAAAAAATTAAAAGGATAACATTATTTATAATAATTTATTTAATGTTTTGCTAAATTGATATGTTAAGATATATGCTGAGTGTATTTTATTTACAATGGTGGAATGGATGAAAATTAGAGTTTAAACATCCATTTTTAACCTTTGACCTCCCAACCATGGTCTTAATTTGATTTCTTAACGGAGTGTGATTTGATTCTGAGAAGCTATTCTATGGATGCAGCTCGGTTAATGGAGAATGACAAATGTCACATGTTTACTGCGGTCCCCACCCACCTCTCTGCTGATAATAAAGAAACTCATAAACCCAAGCAATGCACCTTCTTCAATGCAAACGCTCCCTCACCTCCCCTTCTCTTTCTCAGCTCAGTTCTACTTTCTGTCGCTGATACGGAAGTATATGAATATCCCAAACACCTTTCCGACATTTCCTCCGATGGCCGGAAACTTATCGTCAGAGTTACCTGAAGTCCGAGGTACGCCGCCGTTTCAGTATCTTCTTTGTAGCTAGCTTCTTGTCTTTAATTAGCGTATAATTATGATTCCAAGTAATGACAAACATCGCATTTAATTAGGGAGGGATCATTGCCTTTCCATTTCTAACTTTTATCCCAGAATCTTTATAATTCTATATTCCATAGCTCGATAATCCATAATAGGGAGTCAAATTTTCAACCCCCAAGAAAAAAGCTTTGGTTTTGGAATCATACTTTCATTTGAAATTTTGAATCCACATGGTTCCAAACAGTAAGCAGATTATAATACGGAGTACTATGAGCAGATTGGAGAACGACCCAAAAAATGTGGGGTTGGTTGTCAGTTTTGTCACTCAACGAACATAAAAATATTCTAAAAAAGTACTACTTCGTATTATTATTATACACTGAATCAGGAATACAGCATACCCTTTTTTCTCGGCCAAGCATCTTCATGTCTGTCTTTGAAGCAAAGTCCTCTTTTTTCTTCTTCTTTTCTTTTGTTAAACGTTGCCCAAATACGTGTATAATACAAAGGACGAGCCAAAAGCCTTCAACTAAAACGATTGCTAATGACTTTTATAAGTATTAACCCATTGGGTATGCGCGCTACTGTTTGTTCTTTGCTCTTAATGATTGATGTTCATAATACGGCCGAAGTAGTAATCTCTCCGCTATGATGGTTGTGTGGTCTTTTTCAGATTTGAGATGTCTGTCGCTTTCCCAGAATTTTTTTTAATTAAGGACCTTTGGGCTTATTATGTCCACTACAGGTTTGAAGATCAGTTTTTTTTGTTTCGTTTTTATTTTTGAAATGGAGTAGATGCCTGCTATCAGCTGACTGTTACGCAGTTCTGCATTTAATGCTTTTTTTGTCCTTAATTCTTCTTTTTAAGTGTTGATTGACGATCTTGTAAATTCTTCTGCCCAATCAGGTCTGCAGTAGCAAAGCTTCATGTTTTTTTTCTTCTTCTTCTTCTTATTTTTTTCAAGTTATATGAACTTCAAATCATCATCCTTTTAGCTAATAAACCAATCTTGTATCAGGCTCTCCCATTTACAGAAAGTGGAATTTCTCTAGGGTCTTTCTGAAGGGGAATTCCTGAACTATGATAGTAAGTTGTATGCTCTGTAGGCCACGTCTGGTAGTATGAAGCACTTTTCTTGTTGTAGTTTTGGCCACTTATGAGCCTGTTTGGTAGCCCGGTTCAGTTTACTTCTGAATAGGCAAAATAAGTAACTTTTAACTCGTTTATTTTGTTGAATTGGGTTTTACTTTACACTTTTCTTTTCTGAAAATTCAATAGATTCCAACAAATAGTCCTTGCAGAACAGGCTCACAGTATTTCAGTTTTTCTTTTTTAAATTACCTCTGCTTTATGTGTTCTTGCTTGTATTATACATGAAAGTTGGTTATGCACCTAATGTCCCCCATGGGCTCATCAACATTAATGGTGCTGCTAGAATTTCAAAATGATTGTTGGGAGTATTTATTATCATTTTGAATTCTGCATTAAGTGTGATAGTTGAAAAAAATCAATGTATCTTCAAGGGTCTGGCAGCCTAAATATATAGTCATTCGTGCCATATAGATGACATGTGCACGTGTCTGCTATATACACAGTAGGAGTTTACTTATGTTGCTCAGATACTTATAATTCTCTTATGGCTGAAATATGTAGGACCAGAGAAGTTAAGCTTTTCTTGGTTTACAGAGAACTTCAATTGATGTACGTTTTCATCCTTTCAAAGAAACTTTTGCTTGATATCCCAAGAAATCGTTAATAGTTCTGTTGCTTGCAAATTTTCATGTGATTTGCTACACAATTTGCCAAAAATGAGTCGCAGATTTAAAAGAAAGTAAATTTTAAAAAAATGAGTATGACTAAAGATTTATGACAGTTGCACCTTACTAAAAGTAAGAAGTACTTTGGCATTTTTTTTCCCAACAGTCGTAATTTATCCTTCAAAGGTCAAGAATTTCTTGAGTTTTTTAAAACTTGTTTTAAAAAAAAACTGGGTATTTTCATTATATGTTGATTATTGAATGTTAATAGCTCCCCCATAGTAAAGCTTTCTGTCAGCATACATTGAGTGTTCTTATCCACTGCTTCATGTGTTCTGCCCATTTTTAGTATGGTCACCGGGTAACAGATGAGGTTGAAAGCAGTGCTTGTTGGACTCATTAGCTTGGCTTGGATACAACTATCTCACTGTGGTAACTGTGTTGCCCTTGCTATTTATTCTTGCGTAATTTATGTATGTTAACCAATGGAAATTTCTATAGCTGACCATGTAACTACTCTTAATTTATATGTATAATGTTACTTCAGAAGGGCTTTCAAATGCATCTGACACAAATAAGTGGACCTGCACATGTTTCACGAACTTGGGTATTGCTAATGCGGCTAACTGTTCATCGTCATGCGAATGCGGTCCGGGTATTCTTCGGAAACTGCTCTAAAGTAACGACTAATTGCCATAAGCGCATAAGTTTAATGCTCAATATTTCGTTCTGCTTACTCTTTCAAAATTGCCTATAAGGCAAGGCTTGTTCAAAGTTCTATTAAATCACTTATAAAGGAAGCCCGGTTGAGAGTTGTACTTAATTACTTGCAACGGAAGCCGGGCTACAGTTAAATATTTTTTTTTGTTATTTCTGTTCTTTAATAATAAAGAATTTTGGAGTTTTTATTTCAAGAATTTCATTAAAAAAATTGATCTATATTACATCATTACAAGCAGGCTAAATGCAGCATGCATTTAAAAGTAGAAATAGTTACATACATATGACTAAAATAAATATTGTTTACACAAATGTGACCTCCTAAGTGTAGTGACTATAATAGTAATTTAGTCATAGTAACTTATGTTCATTTTTTTACACTTAAGTGATTGTAGTAATTATTAGTCATATTTTTGTGAATGAGTTTCATTTCGGTAAAATGAAAAAAAACTCTTTAAACTATTGGTGGGTATGATGAAAAATCGAAAATATGAAATTAAACATTTTTTCAGTAAATGAAACTCAGGGATTACTTTTATATTTCCATAAGACGTCGAATTATTCTATTTGCAGATGGGTCGAGCCAAAGCAGGTGGACTTGTATATGTGCTTCTGATGGTTTACCCATAGTGGCTGCAGAACATAATAATAATACTGGCTGCTTTACTTCTTGCAATTGCAGTTTTGGTATTTCACTTTTATGATCTACCAAAGCATTTCCATATTTATGTAAGGAACAAGTTACTTTTTCCTTGCTTATAATGTTTTCATTGCCTCTTAATAGGGAATCTGGTCAAACAACGCTATCCAAAGAAGAGGATTTCCAGAAAAGCAATATTTATTATTCTCTTAACTTGTTCAGCCGTGGCAAGTTTTGCATTTTTTGCATTGATGATGTGCTACATCTATCAAAGGAACAAATATTCTATTCAACGATCTCTTTTATCACCGGATAAAGAAACTAGTTTCAGTAGTGGTACTAACTTAATAAGCCAATACACTTCGTCAGAAGTTGAATCTAAAGTTTACGCAGCCACACCCGTAAATTTTGTTGCAGGTTAGAATTACCGGTTAAATTAATATTGGAATGTTTATAAGTTAACTCTTAGGTTTCTATTGACTTCCTTCATCCCTTTATGATGTAGGGTGCATTCCGAAGCCATTGTCACTATTTAAAAGCAAAATGGGAGCATTAAACGGAATGATCACATACTTTTCATACTTTGATTTGGAAATTGCAACTGATAAGTTCTCCAATTTGAATTTGATCGGAGTTGGAGGGAGTAGTCAGGTATACCGTGGGCACCTGAAAGATGGAAGAACCGTTGCAGTTAAGAGAATTAAAATCCAAGGGGGCCCAGACACAGAATCTTCTTTCTTGAGAGAGGTAGCGTTTTCCATCATTCATTACGCATTATGACCACCTGAGTCTCAACTACTTTAGATCTGTAGTATTGGAAACCAGAACTTTGGATGAGATGAAAAGTAATTTATTCATACTTTTTCTGTTCACTTTTAGGTTTTCCTATAGGTTTTTCACGAAACCTAATAGTAAAAATTTGCATGAATAGTAAATAGTATAGAAAAAGTAGGAGAGAGTAGATGAACAAGTTGAAAAAAGAAGATGAAAAGGTCAGGGTTCCTTGTAGAAATGAAGAAGTACGATAAATTACCAAAATGAAAAGTAGAACTGCAGAACAAGTAATAACAAACTTCTATAGAAAGAGCTAGTAAAAGTGAATAATTGTCTCAGAGGAAATCTATGCAAAAAAGATTGCAAAGCTTGCACGGTGCTGTTTATATATATAAAAAAGATTGCAAAGCTAGTCAGTTCTTTTAACTGACTTCCTGATTGAATTTCAAGCTGAAATTTTGTGGACATAATCTACACTTCATGAAGAGCACCTTCACAAAATTTCATCAAAATATTCCACCGGGAACCACCTCAAACGGCGAATTCCGCATGGCGGTTACGGTCAAGAGCTCCTGATATGAATTGCCCTCATATACCTTTGTATACTGATACCTCTTTATAGATAAATACAAAGGGTCCTACCATAATTACATGCATAGTCCTATCATAATTACAAGGCTAATCAAATAAAATTAGAAGATGCGATTAGTTACAACTGACTTTTTGTTATTGGCGGATTGGCCCCAATATAACAGTTTAAGTGTGTATGCACAATAATAGGATAAGTGTTGACCATTGCAACCTCACTTTTTAATACATGGAACCTTGTTTTAACACTTGATTTGCACGGGATAAATTCATATCAGATCGAACTGATATCAAGACTTCATCATTGTCATGTGGTGCCATTGATCGGTTACTGCTTATTAGAAAACCGCGGAAAACATCATGCACAAAGGCTGCTTGTATTTGAATACATGCCTAATGGCAACCTCAGAGATTTTCTGGATGGGACTTCTGGAAGATGTTTGGACTGGGGTACTCGTGTTGGAATCGCCCTTGGAGCTGCTAGGGGCCTGGAATATCTCCATGAAGCTGCTGCCCCAAAGATTCTTCACTGTGATGTGAAATCCACAAATGTTCTCCTCGATGAGAATTTGAGGGCCAAGGTATTATTGTTAGATATCTCAGCTACTATGTAATGAACGAAAAATAATAATGCAAGTCATCCTTTCAGATGCTGGATTGTCTTCTCATTAATATCTAGACTTCACAATCTAGGTCCATAAAAATGTAGGAAGAGTATACAAGGAAGAAAGTATTATAATGTACGTCAATAAAAAATGGTTAGATTTACATTATTTAATAAAAAACTTGAAGCATAAAAGTACTAGAGCATGTAGTTGTGGCGTGCAAAACGCTTGCAAGTACTACCACATTAGTAGTATTACTCCATGTCACACAACTCAAATTCTTCACAAGTACTACCTAAGAAGTATCATAGTATCATACAAAGATTACTTCGTGCGTAACACTTGCAAGTACTTACCTAAGTTGTTTTTAGCCATGTCACACAGCTCAAATACTACACAAGTACCACCTAAGAAGTAGTATACAAAGATTACTCCTTGTATACTTTTTAGGATGCATCCAAAACAATAATACGGATTTGAAGTCGATTAAATTCAATCAAACAATTGATGATTATGGATCAAAAAGAGCACAAATTTAAGATTTTGTACTCAAATTAGGCACTATTTTGTGAGGCACGTTAGCCTATCCCACAATGAAATACACATACACCCGTAGAACCAACTAGTGCTCCTTTATACTGACTTTTAAGAGGGAATCTCATGTCTTAAAGAGTAGAAATATATTTTATGGTTGCTAGATCTTGTATGAGAAGAATATGAAAGCGTTTGCATATTATTGTTGGGAAAATGTAAATCAACTTTACTTGAGTTCATATAAATTTGGATTTACCTAATCTTTTAACCCATGTCAGTTTTAGGTGTTTAACCTCCTTGCTCTCGGTGTGTACAGATTAGTGACTTTGGAATGGCTAAGCAGCTGCACAATGATGGTATGCCCAGTTGCTCTAGTTCCCCTACTAGAATGCAAGGGACCTTTGGATATTTTGCGCCGGAATATGCCATAATTGGTAGAGCTTCTACCAAATCTGACGTATTTAGTTTTGGGGTTGTGCTTCTTGAGCTCATTACTGGACGCCAGCCTATACAAAAGTCACTGAACAAAGGGGAGGAAAGCCTCGTGATATGGGTGGGCAGTACACCAAACCTCCTCATCATTTCTTTTTACTTGCAAATATTTACATTGAAAATAATAAATTATATGGTCACCTTTTGAGTCATCTAAGTAATCCATGTGTCCTGTTTCCATACTGGTCAAATATAAAGATACATATCAACATACTAAGGTTTGAGAGCGATCTTTTAGGATGGAACCCTCAAAACTTAAATGATATCAGAGTTAAGAGGGGAACCCAATTCTTAATAACAAAATTACAAAAACACTGCGGAAGTTCTTTTTACTGAAATGGTTGAAATGAAGGTAAATGACCCTTCTACTCTGACTTGTAGGCAACTCCTCGTCTGCAAAATAGTAAGCTAGTGATATCAGAGTTGCCTGACCCAAATATAAAAGGGGATTTTGAGGAAGAGGAAATGCAAGTGATGGCTTACTTGGCAAAGGAGTGTCTGCTTCGAGACCCTGATTCTCGGCCAACCATGAGCGAGGTTGTTCATATTCTCTCAACCATAGCTCCACAGAAATCTAAGAGAAACAACTTTCTCGGACACAGCTTTAAGGTACGTTTGTATGAGATTTCAGCACAAATGCATTGTTGGTGTTTAATTTGATATATTGTGTAGAGCTCATCGAGCCATGAAATTGAACGGCACGGAAGGAGATCTCTCAATCCAACTGGAGAAGAGGAAATCAAGCAAATTACTTGTGAGAATCATGATCACAATGTTGATATTGAGAAGGAAGAAGCTGATACTGCGGATGATGCAAAATGGGAAGAGAGAGTAATCATTTTCTCTTCAAAGGATGACAGATGGTATTCTGAAGATGATGCCGCGGTGGACTTGGCTGAGCCGCGGTTTGAATCATTTTATGTGCCCACTGTTGTATGAGGGTATATGCTTGTAGTTTTTGTTGGAAATTTTGATCTCCAATGTCAATATCCATCACACACCTTCCTAGACACTTCATATGAATACACTAAAAGAATCTAATAGACATAATTACTAGTTTTAGCCTGTTAGGGGTGGATGGGGTCATGTTCACATCCTTGAAAATTAAGAGCATTAACTGGAACGATGTATTTGATTATAATGGCCCCAATATTACTCCTAGAGTTAGCATAGACCAAATTATGATTAAATTTGGGATTCACATAAATGTGACCTACTGTTTCGCACCCCCCAAGTATCGATCTACGCCTTACTTCATCGCACCACCATCCATCTCTGCGCCTTACTTCCTCGCACCACCATCGAACTCAGCCTTCCTTCCTCGTTCAGCATAATTGAACTCAGGAACCTCCGAACAGCAGTGGCATCGACCTTCTCTGCCTCCGCTTCCTTGGCCGTTTCCGTCTCCGTCACCACCGCCATCGTCCTTTCCCTCCAGCCGAGAACACAGTCGTGGTCTTCGCCGCCGCTGCCTCCCTGGCTCTCGACGCCGCCCTACACCGCTTTCTTTTCTTCCCTTTCTGTCCGGCGCCACCCTAATAAAGACCTTGCAGATCTGCGAAGACGGTTCGGAGGTTGGGGAGTGTGGTTAAGGTTAGATCTAGATCTAGATCCATGGAAACAGTGGCTATAGTTAGATTTGGGGCTGTGGTACGGTTGGTGTGGCCATGGGAGGGCTGTGAGGTCGTGGAGGGCATCAATGGGGACTGGTGGGGGTTTGTTTGGCAGTGACATGGATGGGAGGTGTGTGGGATGATGTTTGGCCGGGACCGGCAGCGTCACCCACCGGAGAGGACGGCGTGTGGTGTGTGACAGTGACGATGGTGTAGGGATTTAGAGTGATGATGCAGTGCAAATTTGGTCAATGGAAGATGGCGGTGGTGTAAGGTGCAAGGATGGAGAAGGCAGGGTTGAACGCTGGTGGTGTTGAACGGCGGTGTTGGGTTCGCTGGGCGGTGGGTGGTCAACGGGTAGACTGGTGGCTAAGGTGGTGGGGCAGGTCAGGGAGCGGTGTTTCACTGGAAAAAGTCGCCGGAAAATTAACTGACGATCATAGTGACACGATTCATGGCGGCAGTGACATCCGAAAGTGACACGAAAACAGTTACTCAGTTAGTGACATAAAAAAAGTGACATAAAATTGGGCGGTGGCGACGGCGGCGTCACTGTGGCGGCGTCACTGTGTCTGTGGCGGTGTAATTGGCGTGAAAAAATTTGAAAAAATCGGCGGTGATGACTCTTAGTTACAAAAAAACGAACACAGTGACATATATTTTTTGCAGTGACATCATGTTTTCTAATTCCACAGATGTGACCTTCTTGATCACTTTTTTGCCCCTTTTTAAAAGTGGTCACTTTTTTGATAATTGGTTCAAAATTAATAATATTCAAATAAAAACCCCATTTGATTAACTTGATATCTTTGTATTTATGACTAGTTGAATATAATTATTAGGAAAATTCTACCGTGCATTCCAAAATTTCGAAGGTTTCGATACCTCAGTTTATACACCAATCAGATTTTTTTAAAAATGCAGTTGCACCGCTCATAAAAAGGAAAACTGCATACGTAATTTACATGAGATTTAAGGAGAAACTAACTCAATCAAAATTCAGATATGATATTTTAGAAGTACTCAATATTTGTTATGATAAAAACAAAAACAATACTACCTCCGTCCTATTTTATGTGTCTCATTTTCTTTTGACACAATTATTAATAAAGTGGTTGAAAATGTAAACTTGTGGTTGAAATTTGAGTACAAAGGCATCCTCATTGCTAGGATTATTGTTAAAGCATTTGTCCCACACCGGAAAACTATAAAACAATTAAACACTATATAAGGTTTTGGACTATTCCTATCAAGTTGACCTTTTAGGATGGAACCCCGAGTCTTAACAATTATTAAGAGATTAAGTTAGTGACATGACAGTTTTTAGAAAATTATCGTTGAGTGACATAAATTATTTAACGAGATTATTTGCTAAAATAATCCGATACCAAGATATGAATCTGATTATCTTAAGATTATTTGAAAAGTATATGTAATATGTTGATGCATGATCGAGAAAAATGCGAATTATTTGAAGATGATGGTTGGGAGGCATACACGAATTTTGAGATTATTTAAAAATTAATTATGTAACAATATTTAAAAGGTAAGAATGCTAGAAAATATTGATTTTTAGAGATTATGAATGGTGATGCTCTAATAAATAAAAATTCATATATATTTAACGAGCCTCCGTAATGAATTTTAGCTTCACACGATCGAACAGAAAAATTAACCTGGGTTTAATACCCGTAGTATATAAGAAGTAGATGATTTCCTGTAATTAAGGTTGATGACTACATATGTCAATCAACTATTTTCTATTTTCCACTTAAAACAAGATGTGTGTGCAAGCATGAATGTTTAATTTTCTTTCCCATCCCCTAACTAGGAATTCGGGAGGGAATAAATTGCAAATAAAAATGTGAGGTGGCAGTTTCCTGTATTCCGATTGGTTTGGAAAAATATGGGTACCGAAACCCTTCTAATTTATGTTGGTACCATAGAAGAACCCTAATTATTAACTAATTCACATTATCACATATAGTGCCGGTCCTGTATTTTTGAAGGCCCAAGGCAAAGCTTTTTCATGGGATTCTTTAATATGCCTAAGGTCATATAAAGAAAGTAATTACTTTGTTGAGACTATATTAAATTAGTTGTATATCTAAATGAAAAAAATAGAACTATCCTATAAAAAGAATCTAAAAGATACTTTATTGTAAGTAGAACATTGTGAACAAAATGTTCATTGTACAAAAGACCTTCGTACAAATTAAAGTTTTAAAAATAATGAAGCAAATAAAAACAAAAATTTGCATACAAGCAACACTGTATTAAATCAATAAAAATGCATACAACTAAATACAAGGAAATAGATAAGTCATGCACACAATGACACAAGTCACACAACAAATCGTAGTTAGTAAGAAAACGAATACCTACGGTCATCATGTTTTGACTTGTTGTGCCGACCTGTTTAGTATTTAAAAGAAAAAATTTAATATTTCAATAGATTTTGTATCAACATATTTGCCTAAATACATACGTAGTATAAAATACTCGTATTAAAAATTTGGGCTTAAAAGGAGTTACACTCACAAGTCACAACACATATAAAGACCAATTATTGAGTCTAAAAAGTTCATTTTTTTGGACCTTGGGTGGTTGCCCCTCTTGCTCTCCCCAGGGCTGCCACTATGAGTCTATGACCACATGTAGAGATGGCAATTTCGACCGACCCGTTGGATACCCGCACCGAACCGATTTGGTCAAACTGAGGAAAACCGGTTTGACTGGGGAATGAGTATGGGGCGGGGAATACCCGAATTTTTTAAATGGTTAATGGTGCGGTTATGGTTCTATACTAATCCGCCCCGTTATCCACCCCGAAACCGCCCCGTTCACTAATAGTGCGGGTACCCGCACCGTTACCCGATCCGTAACATTATTAATGAATTATAACTTTTTATATATAAGAATAATAAGTATATATGCTAAATTGTGTATACTAAATAGTGTATATCATATAAATAAGGGAATGCTAAAAAGTATACTACGTAGTACTTTTTAGGCCTAAAACTAAATATAAGCCTAAACCTGTTTTTGGAATTTGGATTCTGGGATGATTACTACCTTTTTATTATGTCACAAGAGATATTAGGTGCATGTCATACTAATGGATTTAGGCCCGTCTGCTTGATTGCTTAAATATTTACTTTTGTATGTTTTAGGGTGCTTTGAATATATAAATACAAGTAGGATTAGAAATTGGTTATTTGTTTTCCAAAAAAATGGTTATTTGGCATCATTTGGGAAAAACGGTTACCCGTGGATAAACCGATTCCCCGTTGGGGCGGGTACGGTTCAAATAAAAATTACCCGAACGAGTAATGAGGCAGTTTTGGGGCAAACATTTATCCAACGGGGCGGTTTCAGTTTTATGTGTACCCGTCCCCGATCCGCCCCGTTGCCATCACACTAACCACATGTATACAGTCATAAATTATTGATGTCTCATATCAGAATATTATTCTTATAATAATATGTATCACTTCTCAACCATTGACTTACATGTTTGGTTAGCTACTAATCATACTATTTAAATAGTAAACACAACTATAAAACACTATTGAACATTTTTAAAATTTATTAAATTAAATGACGAACCCCAAAGTGTCCAAATACAAAGTAATTATCCCAAGACATACTTCCAACAGTGACACTGTAAATGTTCAAACTTCAATCTCATGTCCTAGCTAGTGACATAGTTATGAGGGAGAGCCTATATGTACCGTACAACCGGTTGTATGGTGCTCGAGAAATGTTAAAGGTGTCCATTTTGAGGTACTCCATTTTTACCCCCTCTATTGTGTGGTCACAAACGTGGCAACACATTTAAGTGGGGCAACACTTTTATGTGTGACATCATTTGGAGCACAACTTATTGTGTTCACCGTACAACCGAATATTTTCATGTCAATTAAAAGAAATGAGTATAACGTTAAAAAAAAATGAGTATTAGTATTAAATATTGTATTTGTAGCATAACTGAGTATTAGAAGCATGTAACTGAATATCATAATTGTTGGATAATTGATACCCATATCCTATAACTAAAGAGATTTGAACAAAGAATGTGGAGAAAGAGATGAATGTGTATAGAGTATGAACTATGAGTTCTATGAGTTGTCTTTACAAGCCTTACATAAGGGAGTATATATAGGGAAAATCCGGGTCTGGGCTTCTAATATGGGCCTGACAGACCCGGTTACATAAATGGACTGATAGTATGAAAAGCTAATCTAGAACATCTTAATAAAAATAATGTACAATAATATGAATCCGCTAAACGTGTGTGGGCCGCTGTCCAGGCCCAGTAGTCAGCATACCGGGGGGTCGGAGTCTATATAATCCATCAGGAGTCCCCCACTCCCTGAGTCGAGAGTACTCGAGGTGAAAGGGAGTAGTCCAAACTGTATCTGCAACGTTCTTCCTCTTTGGCCGGGGGACCACCACCCTTGTCAATGATGGGGAGGTGCCTCGTTAAAAACCTTTACTAGGAAAAACCCTGTGGGAAAAAATCCTAATAAAGGGAAAAAGAGTACACCTAGCGCCCCCAA